TCATAACTATACCTGTAACTCCAGCTACAGCCTCTGGCTTCTGCGGGCACCAACGCTCACATGTTCAAACCAAGAACCCCCAGGCACATGACTCCCAACACATGCACAATTTTAAAAAGTAAAACTAAATCTTATTTTTAGAGATAGTAAAGAAACTATTTTTCTTCTTTTATCTTTATTTCATTTTTGAGGCAAGGTCACACTATGTCACCCTGACTGGCCTACCTCTGTCTCCCCAGTGCTGTGATTAAGAGCCTCAACGCTCACAGAGACTGTTATCTTTTGATGATAGGAGCATAGCATTAGATATGACAACTTTAGTGACAAATGGAGCAGAAATTGTTATTGTGTAGCATATTATTATAATCAAGTCTTCATTAAGCCAGTTTGAGGAGGACAGACAAGGACAGAGGTGTATGAAAATGCCGTAACAAACCCATCAATTGGTATGCTAATTTTATCAAGTAAACTCACTAATTCATAATATTAAAGAAATATTTGAAAGGAAAGAAAATCAGTCACCCATCTTATCTACCTAAACATTATACTGTATTCATTTTTGCATATTTTCCCACGTACTGCAGGCTTGCAGCCGCTTCATGAGTGTGATTAGGATTCTGGGGTGGGAGGTGTTTCCACTTCACATCGAATGGCAAATGTAAATCCTGTACTAATGGGCTTTCGTGCTGAAGGTATGAAACTAGAGTGAGCAAGTTGCCCTTTGGATATGATTATTTTGTAATTATACCTCTCCTTTGAAGTAGTTACATGGGATAATTACAACATAGTGAAGTTTTCAACTTCATAGTGCTGCATTTATTCCCTGTTCTCATTTTAGATGTGTTTTAGTCTATTTTAAAAAAAACTGTATAGTGGGAAATCCAGTTTCCCAAAGTAGTTAGAACTGTTGAAGTGTCAAAAGGCCTCAAAAAAAAAAAAAAAAAAAAACTAGGTTATACCCACCCCCCCTTTTCTTTTCCTTCACTGCTCCCTTTCTTCCCCCAGGGTAGCCCCAAACATCAACAGCTGGCTTCAGTATCACTTTGTAACTGAGGACCACTTTAAGCTTCTGATCCTACTGCCCTCATGTCCTACCTGCTGGGATGCTAGGCATGCATCTTATCACCAGGCCCTGGTTATTCCATGTTGAGAATAGAGCCTGGGACTTCCTGCATGCTTGTGCTAAGCAAACACTCTACCTGCTGAGCTCCATCCTTTGCCCCACTTTTTCAGTCCATCACTGAGGGAAGTCAGGGCAGGAACTGAGACAGAGGCCATAGAGGGTGCTGCTTATGGTTTGCTCCCAGGGTTTGCTCAGCCTGCTTTCTTGTAGAACTCAGGACAACCCACCCAGGGGTGGCCCTACCACAGTGGGCCGGTCCTTCCCACAGCCATCTTTAATCAAGAAAAGACACTACAGACCTGCCTACAATGTGATGGAGGCATTTTATCAATTGAGACTTCTGAGATAACTCTGGCTTGTGTAAGGCTGGGGAAAAGAAAAGACAGTCATAAAAAGCTCAATACTAGATGGGTCTAGTAGGGCAGATGCCTAAGACTCACCCTGTCGTCCGGTTTCTTAAAATCTTGCTCCTATAGCAAACACATGTAGAAGTCACAACATTTGTGAGGTAAGTCTTCTCTACTGATTGCACTAATTAAAAGCTCAGCAGCTTGCAATTGGCTAACCTGATCAATACCCAAAGGCACTTTAGCTCATTAAAACCAGCCCTAGAAATTGTATTCAAGGAACTGGAGAGGTGGCTCAACCATTGCAAGCACCAGCTGGTCTGTTTCAGAGGATCCCAGGTTGGTTCCCAGCACCCACATAGTGCTTACAACTGTCTGTAACCAGGTTCCAGGTGAATCAACACACTGTCTTATGGCCATGTGGTGTATAGACATACATTCAAATAAAACATCCATATAAATTAAGTAAGTAAATGGATGGTAGAAATTGTACTCTAGTCAGGCAGAAGGCAACACAGTATGTTGCTCAGCTTCCCCAGGAAATGTTTATTTCAACTCCAAAGCTAAAAGAGGTTTTAGTCCATCGATGATGGGTGCTGTTGCTTGAACCTGTGTCCATTCATCTCATGACACCAGCAAGGATGGGTTCCCCAGGATTGCCTTCAAGGGCACATCAAGTGGCTTCTTTCTTTAGACACTACCTCTTGTAAGAATGCCAATAGCTTTACAGGCTGGAGACATATACCTTTGAAGGAATGTTTGAGACCCAAGTCATAATATGTGGACTTTTTTGCCGTTTGTGTGTGGGTATGGGGTGGATAAAACAGTCCAGGAGTATTGAGAGGATTTACAGAATGAGAAAGACAAAGAGAAGAACATAGCAGATAGTTCTGAGGAAACAGGTTTCCCTTCAGATAGAGGAGCACAGCACTCCCTTGGCCTTCCTCCCTGGAGTGTCTTGTCCCCATCTTCCTTACAAGTAGATGCTATCTGGTCAACAGAAAATTAATAGAATGAACTAAGTTTGTCAAGAGTCTTTTTACATTTATTATTGTGTGTGCATGATAGAGGAGAGGCGTGTGTATAGAGGACAACTCTGTGGGGTGAATTCCCTCCTTCCATCTTCGGTGGGTACTAGGGATCAAACTCAAGTTGCCAGACTTACTTGCAGAGAACCTTTACCCACTGAGAAACTTCATCAGCCCCAAAATAATGTTTACATGCTTACTGATTTTAGATAGCCTCAGTATGTAGCTCTGGCTAACTTGGAACTCACTCTGTAGACCAGGCTGGCCTCCCAAGTCCTGAGATTAAAGATGTGTGCCACCTGATACCAGGCCCCAAAAATAATTTTTTTGTTTGTTTGGTTGGTTTGATTTTTCAAGACAAGGTTTCTTTGTGTAGCCCTGGCTGTCCTGGAACTCACTCTGTCAACCAGGCTGGTCTCCAACTCACAGATATCTGCCTGCCTATGCCTCCCAAGTGCTAGTACTAAAGATGTGCACCATCATACCTGGCTCCAAAAATAATTTTTAAATGTGTGAAATCCATTTATTTTAATGGGGAAATGGACTTTGAGCATTCTTTTTTTCTTTTTTTTCCCCCTTTGGTTTTTGAGACAGGGTTTCCCTGGGTAGCTTTGGGGCCTGTCCTGGAACTAGCTCTTGTAGACCAGACTGGTCTTGAATCACAGAGATTTGCCTGCCTCTGCCTCCCAAGTGCTGATTTCAAAGGCATGCACCACTACCACACGGCACGAAACATTCTTTTTTTCTTAGACATATTTCTTATTTCATGTGGGAGTATTTTTCCTTTATGTATGTATATGTACCATGTGCACACTTGGTGCCCGAGGAGGTCAGAAGAGGGTATCAGATCCCCTAGAATTGGAATTGCAGATATATTGTGTGGATGCTGGGAATTGAACCCAGGTCCTCTATAAGAGCAATGACTACTCTTAGCCAGTGGTCTTTCTCTCCAGCCCCAACTTTAAACATTCTTACACAATTCAAAACATATGGTAGAGATACAAACCTTACCTACGGAGTAGAAACAGCATGTGGTTTGATATCGTATGATATCAGTAATCTAGAGTACTGAATCACGACTTATGAATTGAAGAGCTGTTTCTTCAGGGTAAAATACAAGTGAAAAGAAACGCCCAAATGTTTGTAACACCTTTAACTTTGAAGTTTAGAGATGAACCATTATGGATGAGTTTCCATGGTAATGTTATGAGGAGGCAATCAGAAATTCACATGTGTGAGAAGACATAATCAGTGTAAATGCCTTGAGACAAGTATTTTTGGTCTAGCTATAAATAAAACAATGAATCATCCATATGCTATGCAAACTTAAAATGAGTAAATTTAGAATTTCTTTTTTCCTTTTTACAAAGCTTCATAGTTTAAGGAGGTATGTCTTAGAAGTCCGAATAAATGCCCCCTTGAAAGCTGTGTGGTGCTGGAGGTGGCCTCTGGCCATCCTGTTTCCACGGCAGTCACAGGCATCTTAGATGTGGCTTACGAAAGTAAGGAACTTCATTTTCAGCCTTGTGGTGGTTGTGCAGACCTTTAATCCTAGCACTCGGGAGGTAGAGGCAGGCGGATCTCTGTAAGTTTAAGGCCAGCTTGGTCTACAGAGTGAGTTTCAGGACAACTGTATTTTCCTTCTAATTAATTTACGTTTGGATATTTGCTTGTGTCTGATATATTGTTAAGACAATAGGAGCTGGAAAGCCAGCTCAGGGGTCAGGGTCCTTGCAGAGGACCTGGTTCACTTCTCAACACTCACATGGTGGCTCATTGCCTCTACCTCCAGTCCCAGGAGATCAGACAGCCTCCTTAGGCCTCCTAGGGTGCTGCACCCCTGTAGTTCACATACATAATAAAGACAAATGAAATATACTGTGGTAAACATGCCTTGTTGGATTGTTCATTGTCTGAAGATTGTTGCATATCCAAAATTTTTTGGCTCCTAACTTTTTCAACCTCGTTCTAGTTAGAGCTATTACCATTCCTGACTTAGGTTTGCTTGTTTTAAAACACTGTCTTTCCTTGAAGAGCTTCTCCAAGTCATAAATGCTAAGCCCCAAAAGGCTAGTTTTACTGTTACTAACCCAGAGTACTGAACCACAGCTCAGAATTATGGGTGCTATTTTCTCTGAAGTTAATCTCATATACTAAAAAGATAAAAATAAAAACACATCTCAGAGTTTAGTATAATGCTGAAATGCCTGGAATAAAATATATTGATGTAATGGCATACTTTGAAATGCATAAAAACGCAAACTGGATTAGTGTTACTGTAGATGTCATGAAGCAGATGTAAACAGTGTGTGGCATTCTTGGGAGATAAGAGCCTCTCCAAATGCTTTTTTTATTCGTAGATGTGGGGGGACGTTATTTATATGACAGAATGTTACTGTGTTTCATAATAAGATGTGTTAACATGTTGTGTGACAAATATAAGAATATTAAGTATTTGAAAGTATCTATTTTCTCCGGTCTCATCATGTCTCTGTTAAATAGAGCCAGGGAGCCATAACGGAGCGCTTGCGAAGTTTCAGCATGCATGATTTGACAGCTATCCAAGGTGATGAGCCTGTGGGACAGAGACCCTATCAGACTTTGCCAGAAGCAAAGAGGAAAAGTAAGCAAGCCATTGAGCCAGCAGGTATGCTTATTTGTTATTATATGCAAGGGCCTTTCATAAATGGGCTAGAGGTCAGGGTGGGTACTACATAATACATGGTACTGGAGACAGAACTCATTGTGTTATTAATATCATTATTGTGAAGAGTCTTGTGAACCCTATGCTGGCCTCAAACTTTCTATATATGGGAGGCTGTCTTCAACCTCATGATCCTCCTGTCTCTAACTTCCCAGTGTAGGACTATAGGTGGAAGCAACTACACCCTACAAAATCACTTATTTTAAGCATTTTGGGGCTTATTATGTTTGTGTTCTCTTTCTGTTTTCCAGAAGGGTGTCATAGCCCAGGCTTGCTAAGGATGACCATAAACTTGCTGGTCCTCTTGCATCTAGCCTCCCAAAGTGTTGGGCTCAGGTTTGTGGAACCACACCTGGTATAATGCAATCCTAGGGATAGAATCCAGAGATTTGTACAAGCACTGAACCAGCTGAACCACATCCCAGCCCAAGCATGTATTTTTGAGTTTTACTTTTCCCATAGCACCTTCTTTCCAAATTTTCTTTGAGTCAGACTACTACTTGCCTTTTGCTGCTTACAGACATCATGAAGCATGGTGGGTGCACTTTTAATCCAGCACTCGGAAGGCAGAAGCAGGTGGATCTCTTGAGCTCAAGTCTAACCTGGTCTACAGAGCTACTTCCATGACAGCGAAGGCTACACAGAGAAACCCAGAAGAGGAGGGAGGGAGAGAGGGAGGGAGGGAGGGAGGGAGGGAGGGAGGGAGGGAGGGAAGGAAGGAAGGAAGGAAGGAAGGAAGGAAGGAAGGAAGGAAGGAAGGAAGGAAGGAAGAAAAATACATAGATCATGCAGCTAAGAGCAGAGCTGTGGCCTCTTGAGCAGCAGTGAATTTTTAGGAGCTTGCAGTTCACCCCAGTTTTTTTCTGACTGGTCACCAGCATTCTCTGTTCAGACTGGGGACTGACATCTAAGGAGTTTTGTGGGTAAGGACTCTGAATGCTGTGAACAAGTGAGGACATTGACTCACAGGTGAGACATCTTAAGCAGATGACGAGTGATGACTCAAAACCAAAATAAGATTAGTCCAGTGGGAAATGTGTTGAGATTGCACACTCTAATTCACAGCTAGCTTGCAGGCATATTCTGCAGAAATGATGATCCTGTCGTAGTTGCTGTGTTTTGAGCCTTTAATGAACCTGTGTAGTCTTGGAAGCAAGCACACAAACCAGCAGAGTCCCTTTGTCATTGTGTCACATCTGCAGAAGTCTTCATTCATATCCATGCTGAAAACTGATATACTGAGGACAATCTGTTTTTAATTTGTTTTTAAAAATTTCTATGTGCATTGCTGATTTGCCTTTGTGAGGGTGTCGGGTCCCCTGGAACTGGAGTTACATTCAGTTGTGAGCTGCCATGTGGGTGCTGGGAATTGAACCCAGGTCCTCTGCAGGACATGCTTTCTTAAAGTATTAATCATTCCTTCAGAAACTTAAGTTCTCTCAAGAAGGCTGAAAATCATCATTTATTTGATGATTATAATAGTCCAAAGTAATTTTTGTTGTTGTTTGCTTGGTTTTGGTTTTTCAAGACAGAGTTTCTCTGTGTATCAGCCCTAACTTCCCTGGAACTTGCTTTGTAGTCCAGGCTGGTTTGGAATTCACAGAGATCCTCCTGCCTCTGTTTCCCAAGTGCTGGGATTAAAGGCATGCACCACCCAGCTACTAACTTTTAAAATAAAGTAATAGCCCCTCCTTTTTTTACTTTTGTCTTTTTTAAAGACCAAGTTTTGTAATGTAGTCCAGGCTGGCCTGGAACTCTTGGCAATTCTGCTTCAGCTTCCCAAATGTTAGCTTCCACACATAGCCATAGCCCCTATCCAAAAGCGAAGGCTAGGGCCGGAGAGGTGACATTGGTTAAGAGTGCACACTGCTCTTAAAAAGAACCTAAGTTCAATTCTCAGCATTTATTCACAGCTGCCTTAATTCCAACTCCTCTGCCCTCCATGAGACCTTAACTACATGCACATACCCATACACAGATATGTATGTTTTCATACATGAATTAAAAATCATAAAAGTAAATCTTCCATTGTCTCTGATAAGTGACTAAAACTTAAAATGGTAGCCTGTGTCTGAAAGGTTATGCTCAAACTAACTATTGGTTAAAGTAATGTTCTAAAGAATGAAGACCTGAGGCTGGGCTATGGCTCAGTTGGTACTTGCCTAGCATTTAAAAAGCCCTGGTTCCATCCCCAGCAGTTCGTAAACAGAGCTTGGTGGTACACACCTGTAATCTAAGCATTAGGGTTGGCAAGTGGTGGAAGCAGGAAAGATCAGAAATTCAAGGCCATCCTTAGCTACCCAGTAATTTTTGGCCATCATGGACTACAGGAGACCCTGTGTCAAAACAAGAGAGAGAGAAAGTTACTATATAGGAAGGAAAAACATATCCCACATCCTGGAGAAGACAAGAGGAAGCCATCAGAAATGTTCTCGTTTATCTGGGCAGAGTGGTGCACATCTTTAATCCCAGCCCTCTGGAGGCAGAGGCAGGTGGATCTCTGAATTCAAGGCCAGCCTGGTTTTACTCTGTAGAGTGAGTTTTAGAATGGCCAGAGCTGCACATAGATACTCTGTCAGAAGAAGGAGGAAGAGGGGGGGGGACCAATAAGAAAGTCCCCCCTGTCAATTATAAAACCCCCAGTTTCCTAAAACAATCACAGTCCCTTCCTTTGCTCACAATGTGAGGTAGCTGGGCTCAGCAAAGTAGTTCTGTCTGAGGTCCTATGCAGCTGTGCTCCAACAGCAGCTGGCTCGAGCCACACACCCAAAGAAGAGCTTGCACATGTCCCTGTCAGAGCTTAGAAAAGCCAAGCAGCAGGTGTTAATCTGTGTGTCCTTTCTGTGTGGACTCTCTGAGGGGAACTGGAGTCACCTGGCAGCTGCAGTTCCCACAAGACACTGGCTGAAATCCCACTCGGTGCTTTCACGACATGATTGGTGGTGATTTGTTGAGGCGGCTATAAAAGCCTGGAAGGTTGGCAGCAGGGGGAAGTGGGGAGTAATGGACCAGGCTCTTGGAGTTTCTGTGAGCTTAAAAAGAACTGATCGTTTTAGATGACAGTCTGCCAGACAAGCGTTCAGAGATGTGAAGCTGTTCCAGTGTCTGTACATACTGGAGAATCCAGAGGGTGTTCAAAAGGTTACACTATCTAATTCTGTGTGGTGGGGGCTTGCGTGTGCGCACGTGTGTGTGTGTGTGTGTGTGTGTGTCTGTCTGTCTGTCTGTCTGTCTGTCTGTGCTGTGAGTTCTGTTTGGAGGTGTTGTTTGTTTAGTTTTAATCCATTACTCAAATACTCAGAAATAATAAAATACTCTTATTTTGATTGTTTTTGTTTTGTTCTTTGTTTTGTTTTGTTTTTGAAAAAGGGTTTTTCTCTGTACACTAGGCTGGCCTCCAACTCACAGATCCACCTGCCTATGACTCCGGAATGCTGGGATTAAGGGCATGCTATACAACCCTAATACTCTTATTTTGAACAAATTAAATAATACAATGGAACACTCTGTAGAAATGACAACCTCTAAACTTTTTCTGCATTATTTTCTTCATTATACAAGAATGATTTTTTTTAAACAAATATTTGATACTTTAAAAGAAGAAAAATTTAAATTATGTAAAAGTGTGCTCCCTGAGACATATAATGGTATGGGGCCTATCAGTGTCAACAAGGCTTCAGTTGGGTGAGTAGAGGAGCTCAATACCAAGCATGATGGCTTAGTTACATGTCTAAGACCCAAGTGGTGGAAGGTAGGAACCACCCCCTGAAGACTGACCTTCAACAGCACACATGTTTATACATGACTTTTATGCTTAATAAGTAAATGTAACTTTTTTTTTTTTTTTTTTTTTTTTTTTTTTTAGAGGAAACAGAGGACTAGAGAGATGGTTTCATTGTTAAGAGCAAATAATCTTTCTGAGAACCCAAATTTAGTTCCCAGCACCCATTTTAGTCAGTTCATGGCCTCCTGTAACTCCTCCTCCAATGGACTTGGTACCCTGCTCTGGCCTCTCAGGACACCTGTACTCCGTGCACATACCCACACAGAGACACACATACACACAAGGAAAATTAAAATAATTCTTAAAAAAAAAATAACAAATTCCTTCAAATAAAACCCCTGACAGCTCTTCAAAGAGAGACAGAATGTGGCTTTATTTTACCCTAAATAAGGAACATCTCCCTGGCTTCCTTTGATCTCCTCCCATCGGCCTCTGCTGCCCAGCCCTTCCCATTCACATTCCCTTTTGCCTGGAATGAGCTACTTTTGACTACTACAGGAAAACAAAGGATTCTGGCCAAAATAATGCCTGGTTATGCTTCCAAATCCTTCCTGATCTCAAGCCTAGATGTTTGGCAGCCTAAAATTGTTCTTGCCTAATATATAATTAAAGTCATTTATGTTATTATGAGAGTAAAAAGCCTATTAGCAACTGTTCACAGTTTGCATTGTAAATCTCAAATTATTTGTGTCCTGGGTGAGTTGACTAATAGACATTTATTCCACGTCATTTTCCCTGACAGAAATATTCATCCCTGCTTCCTCCTGAACCTTATCTTTATTAGAGAGGGATTTTAAACTTCTTAGGGCCACGTAACTACACACATCCCCACCCCCTGTCTTCACTGCTTTAGACTATCCCTTGTCTGGCTTTCAGCAGGAGCCTTGGGTTTTGCTTCTCAAAGTCATCGTCATCATCCCCCAGGGCTTGTTAGAGATGCTCATCTCTGCCCCTGCCCCACCCCAGGTCTGCTAAATCACAAGCTTCCAGGGATGGAGCCCTGCTATATGCACTGACAAGTTATCCCAATAAGACAAGCTAGTGTCTTGAGGACCTTCTCTTCGGTGTTGGGGTGCCCTTGCATAGCAAACAAAAATAATTTATAGGTCCACATAACAGCCTATTAGCTGACCCCGAGGTCCCTGACTGATATTATTGGTGCTGAATATTTCCTGTGATAGCTGTCCTATGGCCTGTGCTTTCTGTCAGCTGAAACCTCCCTGGCTTGATCAGCACTGTAACCGTGCCCCAGTGACCTCATCTTTCCAACTGTAGCCCCTTTGCATCTTTTTTGGAATCCCCTATAATTCCCAATGTTGACCAACAATGTGACAAGTGGGGGAGGCACTTCGCTCTTAATTAAAGTCAAAGCCACAAGTGACAACACATTTGGATTTTGTACAATTCATGTGAGGTGAAAAGAAACTTCACAGTGTATCTGATTTCTCTGGGTTTTCTTGATTTTTTTTTTTTTCCCCTTGTTTCCTTTTTAGCAGGCTGTGGGTTTGGAAAATTTGAGAAGATTGGGGGGGGGGGGTGTTGGTGTTGTTTGGCTTTGTTCTTGTTGTTTGGACCTGGCTTGTTTGTTTTTCAAAGACAGGGTCTCTCTATATAACGCTGGTTGTCCTGGAACTCATTCTGTAGACCAGGCTAGCTTCAAACTCAGAGATCCGTCTGCCTCTGCTCTTCAAGTGCTGGGATTAAAGCTGTGTGATATTCTTATTGTGTACTTAGAGGTCAAAGGACAACTTTGGCGTCATTCTCTCATTCTACCTTTTTACGTGCCTTCTTGAACTAAGACTGAGTCACCTTACCTGTCCTATTTTAACACAGGCAGACCTTAAACACACATCAGCCCTTCTCTTCTGCTTCCTGAGTTAATGCTTCTGGTGTGTGGCATACCGTACTGTGTGGTGTGTGTTCATCTGTCACTCTCACCGCATTCCCTTGGGTCAGGGTTTCTCCCTCAACCTGGTATCAATGTGTTTTTGCTGCACTGACAACCTGGAAACCCCAGAGATTCTCTTGTCTCTGTCTGTGCACTCCTCACAGGCATAAACACATAGCACTGGAGTTTCAAGAGTCCAGAGGACCAGATTCTACTTCAATTCTAGGATCTGAACTCAGTTCCTTATGCTTATACAAGTGCTCTTACCCATTGAGCTGGCTCCCCAGCCCTCTGACTTATTTTTTAAATAGAAATATTCATAATAAGAATGGGCTGCTGGCCATGGTGCCATCACTGTGAATTCCAGTCCATCCTGGGCTACAGAACAAGACTCATGTCAAAAAATGAATGAGGCAAATGAGTAAAACCAGACCAGGGGGAAGTTCATGGAGGAAATGAGTCTTGTGATCTTTATCTACAAAGTGCACAAAGCAAAAGTTCACTGAGAAGGGCCAGGAGCACTTTCCAGATGATCAGGAAGAGAGACCCCAGATAATCTCTCATGCCAGCCATATGAAGAGGCAGGCTAACCGGTATCCTCTGTCAAAAACATGCTGTTCTTGACCATTTGTTCAGCCTACGGAGCTCCACTGAGAGATGGACGTGAACAAACAGATGAAGAAGCCGAGGGGCCATTCTCAGATGATGAAATGGTGACTCACAAGGGGCTACGCCGGACCCAGAGCATGAAGTCTGTCAAGACCATCAAAGGCCGCAAAGAGGTCAGTGTGCATAGGGTAATCATTTTCGTAATGATCTGTATAAGGGGTTTCCTTCTACTTTGTCATTACCTACATTAAATGACCAGTGAGCAAAGGATTCAAATAAGTGGGTGGTGTTATAGTTAAAATTCTTTATTAAAAGCAAATATGTGCTGGGTGTTGGTAGTGCATGCACTTAGTCCCAGCACTCAGGAGGCAGAGGCAGGTGAATGTGAGTTCGAGTACAGAGCTAGTTTCAGGACAGGTTCCAAAGCCTCAGAGGAACAAAAGAAAACAAAAGAAAAAAGTATCATTCCTACCTAGCTAATGTGAATATCTGTTGTTCCCTATACATAAACAAGGAAGGCTGCTAACAGAATTAACTATATAGTTTTGCTTTCAACAAGCCATAAATGATGATTAAATAGTAGACATTTATCTGTAGTCACATGGTGTCATTGTGCTAAGGCTTACTGACTAACATTGTACTCAGCAAAATGTAAATGGTAAGTCAAGGTTTTCATCTGTGGTTGGGAATGTCCTTTGTATGAATACACCCATCATGTCACCAGCTACATTTCAGTGGATATTCTTAGTAAGGTTATAACTTACAAAGGCGTTGCTTTGATGGTTGGTCAGTTGGTTGGCTGACTGGGATGCTATACTGGCATTTAAACCAACAGCCACATGAAGGCTATGCAATCACTGTATTTCTGAGCTATATTCCCGGCACATTTTCTTGAAACAAGATCTCAGTAAGTTGCCCAGACTGGCCCAGAGCTCATGCCGTGGCTCAGGTAGATCTTGAACTTACAGTTCTCCTACCTGACCTCCCAAAAAAAAGTTGATTCTTTGTGTCAGAAGAGTGAAGAAATTCCTATGACAGTGAACTATTAAAACCTATCTAGTCTTAAAATGTAATCAGTATGTTTAGTTTTGTTTGTTTTAGTTTAGGTTAGTTAGTATAACATTTCCTTATGGCATTTTAATACATAGTCATTTTGAGTTACCTTTTGTTTTATTTGGTTTTGGGGTTTTGGGATGGTGGTGGGTGGTGGCTTTTGTTTATTTGTTTGTTTGCTTGTTTGTTTGTTTCCTGACAGGGTTTCTCTATGTAATAGTCCTGACTTGGAACTCGCTTTGAGGACCATACTGGCCTCAAACTCATGAACATCCTCCTTTTCTTTCTTCAGGTGCGGTATGGCTCACTAAAATACAAAGTGAAGAAGAGACCTCAGGTGTATTTTTAATGTCTACACCTCACCTATCTCAAGACAAATAATCCTAACAAATCAACTTCACTTTCTAACATGGTGTATTTGGGACTTACACTTTAAATCTTCCGATTGTGGCAATGACAGGACTTACTTTAATAACTTCAAATAGTTTGTGTTTCTTTAGCAATTACTTTTATATATAAACTGCTAAATGTAGTTATTTGAGGTTTATTAATGTACACGTATATAACAATAGTTACAGAGAATCATGTTATCTGATTTCTTCAACAACATTGAGTGTCTGGGATCTAAGGCTAGATCCCAGGGTATACTTGAAAAGTCTCTATTTCAGGGTACACCTTGCCCTTCTGGTGTCACATTGTGTTTACACCCATCCGTGCCGCCAACATCTGTCACAGGAGAGCAGTGACAGCCACTGAGCAGCCAGTGTCCTAACAGAGACATACTGGAAAGTGGTGACATGCCCTTTACATAAGCCTTAGACGCTTTCCACCATGAGCAAAAAGATTTTGAAACAGCTATTTAAAACCAGATGTCCACATAGCACTTTCCTGGCTGGTTTTGCACACTTGAAATTTGTTTACTTATTTTATGACTGTACATTTACTTTAAATTTTATCAATGCTGTCTTTTTTTGTTATCTGTGATATTCTGACATGTCAAAACTATGCCTTGAAATGCATCATCTCCTTTTCCTATGCATTTGTTTCATTTGTTAAATGCATTTGATTTATAGTAGCGACACATGGCTAACTTAAATTTTTACTTTTTGTTTTGTTGTTTGAGATAAGGTCTCCTGTAGCCCAAGGGTGGTCTTGAACTCCTGATCTCTCTGCCTCCACCTCACAGTTGCTGGGATAACAGGTATATAGTATCACACCTGACTAATTTAACTGTTTTTTAATTATATTTTTGACAAATAAGAAGTTATTAATATTAACCGTTTCTATATTTGAGTTTCATGTGTTTTTATCAATAATAATTACATTATTTTATGTTTTTAAAAATAGCTTTTGTAGAAGAGAGTCAAGACCAACTAGTGTAGCACTTAATGGGGTATTTTTGGTTTGGGGGGATTTTTGATGTTGTTTTGGGGGGATTAGAGACAGGGTTTCTTTGTGTAGCCTTGGTTGTCCTGGAACTAGCTCTGTAAACCAGGCTAGCCTGGAACTCACAGAGAGTCACCTGACTGTGCCTCTCAAGTGCTGGGATTAAAGGCTTGTGCCCACCACTGCCCAATTGCGATTTTCTTATTCATAAAACTGCCCAGTGACCATACCCCATTCTCAAGCTTGGCAGAGGCAGATGCTGGCTTACAGACCTGGCAGTGATTAAAGTCATTTGAATCTTTTTCTGGATATTATTCCATGAAGATGAGTGTCCAAGTAGCACAAACATAGTTGATGCTACATGGCACAGGCTTCCAGAAAAAGAACTTCTTTCTAATCTAAGAGATTTAGAGGGATTGAACTCGGAGTCTCTTTTCAGCTTGACCTACTATCTACATTATTGTGTATTTGGGTTGATGAATAACCAAAATTTCAATAATCAAACAATGTTTACTTGGAGGTGTCTTGAGTGTCATTCATGCATGGCCTCTTGATGCCATTCTGAATATTTCCTAAACTGACATACATTCTTAATATTTAACACTAAATGAAAATTCAATTTTTTCCAAAATTTAGTCTTACATCTCCATCTACTTTGCTTTGACTCACAGCCTCTTTGTCACTAGAAGGATTCTTTAACATCTAGTCAGTCATCTATAAAATCATATGATAAATTACCAGAAAGAGTGTTATGTATTTTGCCTGGACCTGTCCTGCTCTATACAAATGCCATGCTACATGCTTGGTTTCCCAGGCAGAAGCAGTGTGGCCTGATAACTCATTTGTATAAGTAAGTTACTCTGCCTCCATAGGGACTGATTGGCACCATTTTATCTTTTAAAAAGTCCAGTCTCAGTATTAAACCTGCCCTTTGGAGCTGGTAGATACAGTGCTTGACATGTGCAAATGCCTTGAGTTCAAACCCAGAATCAAAAAAGAAAAAATTAGTTAAATTTACCCATCTTTAAGAGGTTCATGTACTATGTTTGTTTTCCCTTTTGATTGTTTTTTCTTTTCTTTTTTCTTTCTTTTTTGACAGAGTCTCACTCTGTAGCCCTGGCTGTCTTGGAACTCACTGTGTAGGCCAGGCTGATCTCAAGCTTACAAAGATCCACCTGCCTCTGCCTCCCAGGTGCTGACAGTAAAGGGTGTGTGCCACCATGCCCAGCTTATTTTGTTTTGAGACAAAGTCCACTCTAACCAGACTGAAATTCACTATATAGCTCAGGCTAGCCTCAAATTTATTACTCTTTGTGCTTCAGCCTTCTAAGTGCGGGATTACAGGTGTATGCCACCATACCCTACTTCACCGGCTTTTTAAGTTGGGAGAATTATTACCTTGTAGAATCAAAATACTCTAAACAAAGACACCAGCTGGCTCAGAACTAATGATGGCCGTCCATATCCCTGCCACTGGCATGCTTACGTGGTGCCATCTCTCCTGCTCTTGCGCTTTGGTTCTGTCCCCACAGTCATAGAGTCACAGCATACCCTTTTCTTTGAACTGAACTACAGGGCTTTTTTTGTTTTGTTTCTTTAAGTTGGAGCAGGTCATGTTATTTGTTTCTCTGCTTTTGAGTCTGCTGATTTTTTTAAGAGATGTCAATTTACTCATAGACCACAGTGCCTTGACTTAACCACGCTGCCAATTGGTGTACCAGCATGCAATGCATAAACCTGTTTAGGGCACTGTTTCTCTGCCTTTTGGCATTTGTCTAAAAATTATAATCAACTAGTATTTTTATCTGACTATCTAGTCATTCAATGTGATCACTAATACTTAACTATTCCCCATACTTAACTATTTGTTTAAGCATAAGAATTGATATAGTCTATATATGTCTCTCTTTTTTTCTTCTTTCTTTCTGGCACTTAAGGGAACCGTAAGTACAGCTAGAGAGATAGCTCAGTGTTTTCAGAATGCATACTGCTCTTACAGAGGACACAGGGTCAATTCTTAGTACCTGTACTAAGTACAGGTAGTTCACAACTGCCTGCAACTCCAGATCCAGGATATAGGATACTGTCTTCTGAGTTCCAGGGGCACCAGCATGCATGTGAACATACCACACAGATATACATACAAACACATAATTTAAAATTTAAAAAAAAAAATGTGAAAAACTAAAAGGAACCAAAAATAAGCTGATTGCTAAATGAGCAATTATATAAACCCACTTCACTTCCCCGCCCCAGATCCCATCCACACATATCACTGTGTGTTTTAGATGGCTAAAAAAAATAAGGTCCTGCCACCACTGCAGGTAAGAAACTCTTCACTAACATGGATGGAGCGGAACTTACTACTCATGTGTTTTCAGGGATCTTATTTCATGTGTTACCACCAAAGACTTCCATGGTGTTGTCATGCATGTAAATACTCAAAAATTCTGTCAAACATTGGTTAAATGTATCGTCTTTCTATGGTTTGGGGGACATGCCTGAACCTTTATGGTATTACTAGAATGTCTTATATTAACTATAAGTGTTTTTTTTTTTTTTTTAACTAGAATAGGATAATTTTTCATTTAGTGTCTTCCATTAGGAAAACTAAGGAGATCTCAATAGATCTAAATATAGAAATCTAAGTATAGATTCCAAAGCTATTTCCTCTGTCCTCTCCTTTTTAGGTTGATTTATTTGTGAAACAGTCAGGTAAATTTTGAGAAGATTGTTGCTTAGTGGTTTGTAGTATTTCTTAAGAAACATGCCCTAATATTAAAGTTTTCTGAAAAGAAAGTATCTTTTTGGCTAAGTACTTTTAAGACATGGTCTCTTAAGGGTGTTCTGCAGATTGAATATTGTATGTCAACCCTTGACTCTGACTTTAACAGTTTTTCTTATAATATTTTTTTAACTCTGTGGACTTTAATACTTTAAGCAAAAATGACTTTATAAATGTCTTTGTAAAAGCTCTGCAAATGTATTTTGGGAATTTTTACAATAAAGTAAACTCATTATATTAGTGGTGATTGGGTATTTCTTTATGTGTCCGCAGCAAATGTGTTGAACTCCATGAATGTTCTTTATTATTCAGCATGCATTGATTCAGTAACAGACAACACATATGTCCTTCAGATTACCGATGGCAGAATAAGTCATGACTATTCCTCAAATGCTGAGGAAGGCGTTCTAAATGGTGGAGTTTGGATGCTAGACAGAGAAGCAGAGAAAGCAGCACAGGGCCTCTGTCACAGTGGGTTGACTGGCTGTCTCCAGCATAGAGTCTAACAGAAAATTCAGATTTGTGTAACCTGGAAGTGTTCTGGAGTTCCGTCTGTTTGAGAGTCTCTTTGCTTTAAAGATAAAACTCCCCTTACATTGCTTCATTATGACATGCAGTATGTATTAAAGTGTTTTTAGATAGTATTGAAAATGAAGTTGCAGTTTTTAGCCTTATTATGAGACATATGCTTGCCATGACCAAACAGGGCTATAAATTTAAATAGAAACTCGAAAGAACACAGTGAACTTGTGAAGCACTTCAGTGGTGTTTGTTTTTTCCTTGGGGTTTTATTTTCCCTTGAAGTAGTTAACTGTTCTTACAAAGATGTGTGGGACAAAACCACCTCAGAGACATGTTCCTAGAAAGGACTCTTCTCTTTTACCTGCTCATCAATATGTGCTAGGCTCCTCTGAATGTCCTAAAGCAGGTAATATTTTTAAATTCCTGTTTAAGGTGGAACAGGCTTTAATCCCATCACTGGAGACAGAAGCTGTGTGATGTCTGAGTTCAAAGCCAGCCTGGTTTACTGAGTAAGTTCCAAGGCCAGCCAGGGCTAAACAGAGAAACCCTGTCTTGAAAACTGAGTCAGACAAACAGACAATTCTTCAAGTTGGAATTTTAAAGCACATGATTGATAATTTTACCTGTTCTGTAGATTACTAAAGAACTGTGCTCAACAACAACAACTACAGGCACCAGACATGGGATGTGGTATGCATAGGTACAGGCAGACAAACATTCATACACATAAAGTAAATTTTTAAAAACAAAGTAGAAAAATTGTCATGTCTTTGTTTGCCCAAGGGATTCATGTTAAGAAAGGGAAGATGGCCAGGCATGGTGATATGCACCTTTAATCCCAGCACTAGAGAAGCCCAAGTAGGCTAATCTCTGTGAATTGAAGGTAAAGTATGATATTTTGCTGTTTTATGCCAACCAAGTTACCTTCACTTTTTCTTCATCTAGTAACATGCATCAATCACACAATTTGTACCATAGTATGGTTATGTTTCAAAACAGCCTGTCTAAGAAGATATAATAACAATTTAGGGAATTAATTCTTGTTTTGAAAGAATAAATTCACTTATCAAGTCAAAGTCTGGGGTTTCTTGTAGGTTCTTGAATAATTTGATTCTCTTGGAGCAGATTTCTTTTCTTTTGTTTGTTTGTTTGGGAGGATGTCTTATTTTGTTTTTCATGTGATAGGATTTTTCTGTGTAGTAGTCCTGGCTGTTCTGCAACTTGATTATAGACCAGGCTGGTCTTGAGCTCACAGAGATCTGCCTGCCTCTGCCTCCTGAGTGCTGGGATAAAAAGTGTGTGCCACCACTGCCTGGCTGAAACAAATTGTTTTAAAGAAATATTTGGTTCATTTCTTGCCTTTACCTCTTAATGTTCAACACATTGCTGAGTTCTTTGCCTTTCTGAAACATGTTATGAATCTGACCATCTTACTCAGTTCTTGTGTGTGTGAGGGAGAGAGAGAAAGAGCACATCTGGCCCAAGAGCAGAACCATCACTGTTTTTAGTAACTTTGGAGGTTTTCACCCTGACATTAAGTCTTCTGTGAGTGTCATATGTTCTGAACTGGTTCCTTTGGGGAATGCTGTGAGAGAAGGCTGTGGGAAAGGGGGTTGAAGATCAGAGATAGATCTTGGGCATCAGGGTGGAGAAAAGAGTTATTTTTTTCCCCAATTGCCAAGGTTAAGAGAAAATGTATAGCACGAATAAAGACCTCTATTGGCCTTCAAGCTGAAGATCAGAAAAGCAAAGCAGCCAGCCACAAGAGTTCTTACCTCTACCAGCTGGAGATCCTGTCCTCAGTGGGACTGCAGGTTGAATACAGGCCAAGACCCTGAGCCCCTGTTTTATATATCTCTCTAGTGCTGGGATTAAAGGCGGCTGGCACCACCACCACCCAGAGTCCATTCTAACTAGTATGGCTGCCAGGATTTAAGATGTGTGCCACCAGTGCCTGGCCTCTATGACTGTCACTAACTTTGTGTTCTGATCTTCAGGCAAGCTTCATTAAATCATAAACAAAATATCACATGAGTGAGGAGAGACCATGACTGGATTATTTTCTCCTGTGCTGTACCATCTCAAACTACAGGAGAGGTTGTGTTAATCAATGCCACACCTGATTTTACTTACTCAGAATTTGAGAGATACAAAAAGTCATAGTTCGGGCTGGAATCAGGAGTAGATAACCTGGATTAGTCAGAGTTCATCAGAAAAAACACTACCTAATATTAGAAAAAGAATGATAGATCAATCGATTGATTGATTTCAAATAATTGGTTCGTGTGATCCTGAAGGCTGGCAAAACCAAATTTTGCAAGGCAGCCCAGTAGGCTGGAGGGCAATGGAAGAGTTAAGTTTTTGGAATGCAGGCACACATTGCTGACCACAAACAAGTGGAGCTCCAGGCCATTCTGGTCTACATAGCAAATTTAAGGCCAGCCAGGGATACATAGTGAGACTGCCTCAAAATGGATTAGATAGACAGACAAGCAGGGAGGGGAGAAAGAGAAAAGACACTAGTGTTAATGGGTACAATGGCCTAGCCAATTTGACATATGTAAGTAGCTATCGCAATATCCTTATAGTTAAGTTTAAAAAGGTAACTCCACCTCAAAATAAAGCCATTTCGCTGTTTCTGTAGGTAACAACTAAAAGCTTCTGATGCCCCTTTGTTTCTTGATTCAGCCATACACCATCCCTCCTATGCAAACCCATCAACTAACCCAGTAAATAACCTCCAGGCCCTATGGTTGGGGACTTTGGACTTTGGTTCATTTCTTTATACTTACTTTGGGGAACCACATGATACTAAAAAAAAAGAAAAAGTTAAACCTAGACATGATTTTATAAACATTACAGAAATTTCAGGTATTTATCAAAAGATTAAGTGGGGTCAGCTGTTGCGTTCAACCATTGATTTGGCTCTCATATTCTGTGAGGAGAGAGAAGATGCCTTTAAACTGAATAGGAGAAATAATTTACCATCAATTATTGGCTAAGACCAAACAGGAAGCGTTTGATGAGAGGAGAGAGGATGTGGCTACTGAGAGGACCATCCTCTCCAGGAAGTGCTTCCCTTCCTCCAGCCCTTCCCCCCGCCCCCAAGCATTTGTTCCTGGCCTCACTCCCTTCAAACCACACCTTGTAAACCCCTTTTATGGGCTCCTTCCCGACACCAAGAATTCCTGGTGTTCCTCCATCCCCGGTTTCAACTAATAAAACACACACACAAATGATCCAACGCCATTTCACACAGGGGATTAACTTTATTCAGTCTTTAACTTGAAACTACAGTTGGGACATACAGCAGGCGACAGTTTCCATATGCTATGTTCTAGAAAAGTAGAGCTGGGTTATTTATAGTTTACAACATGCTGTATAAAATTCAAGCTAGCGAAGAGGCTCCCAGGAAGGGAAATTAGACAAAGACGAGAGGACAAAGAACCCCATTTTGCAATATTCTGAGAAGACTTCTGTAAACCCACACAAAAGTTTAATATTTACAATTAAATGATGTGCAGAGGTATTGTGTTTACTTTAGAATAACTTAAAGTTAAGGGTGCCAAAGAGTGAGAAGGGGGAAGTGTAATGGGGGAAAATGTGCTTCAGAAAGGCAAAGCAGAATTGTCGGTAAGAGTTGATTTTCCAAGTGCAAAGTAAGGTCACATGACAGCGGGTTGATCTTTGACCCAACTGTCTCCAAGCACGTCTGACAGCAGCGAGGAATAATTGCTTCCTCATTTAGATTAGACAATGTGCTCTCTGCAAGTGGCACTCCTCTAAATAGAATGGAGAGAGTAATTGAAGCAAGTTATACTGGGTAGCTGAGTGACCAATTCCTCCTGGTGTGAGCGCGGAGAGCCTCGGAAACCCCTTCAGTAAGGCCTTCATCCTGTTCCTATTTAGGGAACCCGCAGGGCAGCTGTGCTGAGTGCCTGCAGCTAGCTGCCTTTATTGTTTAGACTTGGGGGGAAGGTCACAAGCCCTCTTTGACAGAGAGGTTTATGGACTCTCTAATTAGCTACACCCTCCACCCGACAGACAGTTGGCCACCTTCCAAGAACGAGGGTTTGGTAGCCACTGCTGAAGGAGAAAACAAGGTTATTTACCCCTGTGACTGTAGGTCTTGGCACAAGCTCACCCTTTACATTCAGACACGTTTGCCTTTGTTCCAACTTGCGTTTGGAATTCTGAGTAGAGCGTTGAGGGAAATGCGGCTATATATTTAGTGCTACACAACACAAAGGTTGGCCTCAGACCTTTTTCACTATTCCAAGGCCTCATGAAAAAAGAAGGGTAACAGAACCGTGCTTGCACATGCCCACCCACAAGCTCAGAAAAGGAAGTTAAATTCGCAACATCTATAAAATAACGACAGTTGTATGTTGGGGCAGTTGGAAGTCTCAACGGTAAAACGTGATTGGGTTTAGCTATTACTGGAGTGCCCGGAATATATTTGGCTTATCCCGTTCTGACGGGTCTGCAGGATGGTAGATTAAGCCGATAGAAATGCTTTGGGGTTGATTCAAACCAGATGCTCCGGGCGCAGCCCAGCGTTAGGCAAGGCTGCCCCCTCGGCAGTCCGCCAAAGCAGCCAAACCCGCCAGTTCTCCACCAGATATCTCGGCCATAAAAAGCTTTCAAGTCCCCATTGTTATTCCAGGCACATTCCAGGGGGATTGAGTCACAAGACTCAGCAGGACTTTCTCCCGGCT